TTACATTTTGTATCGCACAGCCATTATTAGCAATTAGATTTTATCCACATATGGCTTAAATGAAAGCTCTACTATTGAGCTTTCAAACTCACTTAACCATATTGACCCATGACCTCTACCCTGACCTATACCTATGACCTTTGCAAACATTCCGTTATTTCAATTACTGTACATTTTTTAAAAATTTATGTTCCGTGTGAAAGTTCTGCATTAAATGGATCTTAATAATACTGTTTACCGATTTTGGACACGACTCTTAACAAAAAAGTTATTAAAGTTTTGCCAAACTTATTTTCACGTGTACGACCTAATATTAAGATTGAATTATTTATTATACTTACCCTGTTAAATTGTTGTTGCAAATTTTCGGTACATGTATGCTGAGCTAGGCACTACATAAACACGAGGGAAATATTGTTGTATGAATCCCGTGGTTTAACACATATAATAAGCCTTAAACCTAATTGCGCAAGCAATATCAAGCTGTAAATATGTAAATATTTGTAATTTCCAAAAATCATAAATTTTATATGATATAAATTATATCAGTAGTTGAAATGCAAACATTTTTCAACTTTGATTTATCTTGTTTAATGCATTTTTAGTCAAAACAAAATTATTAATTATATGAATAGTGGCCACAGCAATAAAAACATTTGTTTACCACTAAAATATAATATAAAAATACCATTGAGGGTCAAAAGTGACAGGGTGTCATTTACTAATTTAAAACTAGGAAATTGACACTATGTTACACTATCGCCAATTAAATAATATATTATTTTAAATATACCTTCACTACTCGTCGAGATTATATATGCTGCCCATGATTTTATTGTAGTGATCTTATGGGTGACCTCCCAGGAGAATTACTTTCTCATTACAATTGGATCTTGCATTCAATACTTCTTTAAATCCTTATTGACTAAACGCATTATAAATATATTAGTATTAGTTATCAAATTGATTTTGAAATTAGGTTTTGTCTAAAATTTCCCGATAAATATGGTCATTGCGGCCGATCCCGAAGCCACAGGACAGTTTAAATGATTTATTCAATTTCAGCATTGAATGGACATTCATATCCAATCAAAATGTAAATACTATAACAAATTTATCACTTAAATTATTTTTTATCTATCATTCATTTGTATATTTCATTAACAAGTTTTATTGAATAAAATCCATTTATTATTCTGTTATTATTAAAATTTCCCAATTGCCAAATTAGTATGTGATTGTTTGATAAAAATTCTGTGACAATTCCAGAACATCTGGAAATCTTTCAAAACACCGGATAAACACAGGACTGCTTATCCAAAATAATAATTTATTAACAATAAGTGGTGTTGCCCTTATTCCACGCATAATATATTATAGTTGCAAGTGGTGCTATCATTTAAAAGGTTTGCCAAAACCCTTTGGACTCGTTTTCTTAGAATTTAGATGAGGTACGGTTGAGTTGATCAATAGAAATTTTATTAAAATGTGTTTTTCAGAAACATGTCTGTGTCATAAATGTCCAAAATTAAAAGGAACTGGTCTAAAAATTATATATTAAAAATTTAAATAGATTTATCTCAACAACGGGTGCACCAACTTGTGTGATAGAAACCTTGTTTGAATTATATATATATATATATAATTTTACTTACTGGAAGCAACCTTGTTCAAAATATAGCAAACAATCTATTTTATAAAAATTGTTTCTATGTATTTCATTTGAAGGACATTACCTTGTTTTACACCTTTATCTATATTATCATATTACATTGAAAATATTTATTTATAAAATAGAATGTTTATAATAATTTGTACAGTGTTGTTGATAGAAAGTAAATGTTATTATATTAAAATATAATTCAAAATAATGTTTATATCACCGAGGTAGGTGCACCCGTTGTTGACATAAATTGATTTAAATTCTTTAATTGATAATTATAGATTTACCAAAATTTTCCAAGTAATATTTAGATAAACCCAAATATTAGTTTTTTAAACAGATCTTGCACATCATTTTCATAATCAGAACTTTAAAATAATATATGGTTTCTGAGTAATCATTTTTTCCCTAAAATCCTTTTCCAACCCGTTTTATTCTGATCTTAGAAAATTATGTCATATAAACATGTTGGTGCAGAAAACCCATATTTTTTATAAAAAATTCGATCTTGCTCAACCGTAACCCATCTATATCATAAGACAACTAGTTTAAAGGGTTTTGACAAACCTTTTATATTAGTCAATGCCCCATAACTGGCCTACGTGACCAATTTACTTTTATTTCATAAGTAAGATAAGTAAGAGTAGTAGATAAGTAATTCAGTATATTTTGCGCTTATGTATAGGTTTTGCAATTACATTGTTTTTATCATAAGAAACATATAAAGCAAATTCAGTGACAAGTCTGATACAAGTAACTCTCGATATAATAAATTTGGATATAATAAATCTCTCGTTATAATAAACAATTTCTGAAAACCATTGATCACTAGCCATAGACATAATGTTAAAATAAGTTGGTTATAATAAACCTTTATATAATAAATTATTTCCCAAAAACAGTCTAGTTTATTGTATCGAGAGTTAAGTGTAATAATAAAAAATACACAATTATAATTATAATTAATATATAAGTTTATATACATTAAGTTCTTGAACGGAGAGAGAGAGAGAGAGAGAGAGAGAGAGAGAGAGAGCTGTTCTTAAGAGACATTAAAACAATTTATCCTAAAAATAGGTGGTTATCTCAAAACTATTGCACAAATAGATACAAATATTCTAAAGTTTTTTCACTAATCAATTTTTAAGACTAAAACTTTTTACACAATTCGTGACAAATATATTACAAAATCGGAAACAAAAACTCAATTCTTATACAAATTATATTCAATATAAGCGACGTGTAAATCATGTCATAAAAAGCTCAAAACGCTTATCGCCGCAAAACAAACTCATCAAACATTTAGACTTTCAAACAGAGATTAAAATATTTCATTCAAATCCCGAAATATATCACCAAAACTAATCCAACGCCAGTGATTGGCCATCGGTTCACACCCATCGACAACCCATAGCCACGCAATCAGTCAGCGAAAAAGGCGCACAAAATAGCCGTTACATAACGCAGCCATGTATTAACTATCGCCAGGTACAGGTAAACACATCATAGGCACACACCTATGATTATAATCGTAATTATAGTTCAATTAAGTGCTATCTGAAAAATGCCTAGTTTTTTAGTACTTTATACAGTATATCAGATATTAAAATACTATATAAACTGACGCTGATACATTTTTTATTATGGTATCCATTCGTATATAGTACAGTATATAAATAATTACCTAACATATGTATAATATTTATGTCAAAAGTTCACTGAGTATTTGATATTTAAATAGTAATATTTTGTGTATTTTTGCAAATAATGGCTAACGTTTTGGACAAATTTAGTCAATTGAAAAAATATGTAGAAAACAATTAACACGTGTTGCTATTATTTTACGTATTTGACGACTATATGGGCAAAAACTGTATATACCTGCCCCACGAAGACCGGTACTACGTGTTTGGGTCCAACCACTACCGGTGTCTGTGCTTGGGCCATAAAAAGGTAGTAGAGTACCCTGTACAATTAATCAGTAAGGGTATCACAGAGTTCTACAAAACCTGTATGTTTGGACGGAACCCGGATGATGAATACCCCGTAGAGGAGCAGGTGGTCATCAAGGACTTAAGCGGGAAAGGCATCACAAAAATGTACAAGGGCAGCAACTTCATGATTGCCACTAGTAAAACTAGAGCAAATTTTAGAGAAAACTATTACCAACGAACATTTCACACAATACATGAAATAGGTTCTGGTGGTTATGGGCGGGTATATAAAATATACAAGAAAAGTGGCTATAAAATATACGCCATTAAAATTGTAAAACTTACAGGTATATTTAATTATTTTTGTAAATTATTTTCTTTAAGTTACGATTATTATATAGCAATGATATAAAAAGTAATTTCCAAACTTACCAGTAAACACTATTTATTAATTTAGTAAGTCGGTTATTTTTAATAATTACTAAATCTTTATATCATTGTGATAATATGATTATAAATTAAATTTAACAATGAAAATGTTAAATTATGTATTATTTTTTATATCTAGATTTTTCGGAAAAAGAAATCTCAAGAGTATTGGCAGAGACAAAACACCTGTTAAAAGTGAAATCAAAATATTGTGTTAAATATTACGATTCATGGCTTGAAAGAGACTGTTATTACATACAAATGGAGTTGTGTTCCCATAGCCTCAAAAATATTCTCCAACAAAAACCACAAGAATTTGACAGAAACAAAATGCAAGCAATGAATTCATATGAATATTTCATTTCGTGTGAAATATTTCGCGAAATCTTAGAATGTGTTCAGTATTTGCATGAATTGGATCCACCGGTCATCCATCGGGATCTCAATCCCGCAAATATATTAATTAATGAGAACTCGAGGAACGGAAGATTTGTTAAGTTATGTGACTTTGGTTTGGCTACAGTTCGCGACAAAAGTATTCATCGGATCCAAACTAAGCTCACGGCAGATGTGGGTACCTATGGATATATCGCACAAGAGGTTTGTCACGGAGGGAACTACAACCATAAATGCGATATTTATAGCCTGGCTATAATTGGCACACACTTGTTTGAGTTTGATTTATCAACATTCGACAAGGACAGGTATATTTATTTAAAATTATTCTTTTAAATTAACAAATTTTATTTATAAATTCTTATATAGTCCACAACCTTACTCATCGCATAATACTAACTTGAATGAACCGGTATTTCACTTACAAACTGTATTGAATTCAATGCAATCGACCCCTCAATGGAGTAAAAGACCAGAATGTAGTGCAGTGTTGGCTCAATATAACGAGTGGTCAATAGATAAGAATATTCTTGCGAGTGATCCACAGTTTGCATTGGATTACAATAGACTCAATCAAAAAGGAAATTCATTTTATGCTAAATACTTTCAAAATATAATTCAGAAACAGATACAATCCCTACCTATTTTGGGAATTATCGAATTTTTAAATAAGTGAAGTACTGTATTTATATTAATTAATTCAGGAATGTGCTGAAACTTAATTAAATTTATATTCGTGTTATAATTTTTAATTTTTTAATACTAATTATATAATAGTTAGTATGGCATACTTGTGATAGAATTTTTATGTGAACATTTATGTTTCCATATAATTTAAAATTGATTAAATTTAATTTTATTAAAAATAAAATAATTTGTGATACTTAAAGCTTAGAGACAATTATTTTTGTATTGTCTAACAATTAATTAAAAATATGTATAAAATTAAAATATTATTCATTTAATGCCACAAATTATAAATTCTAATTAATATATAATTTTTTAACATTCATAGCATTCTAACACATAATTCTGTATTTCTAGCAATAAATGCAATTATTTGCTTTTAAATAGACCAGGGTTAAAGTACAAATCCCGGTCCACATACTTCATAGTCAGCATTTCATCCAGGTTTAATTCCTTCTATTCCTCTTCAGATCTGCCATCAGACACAACAATCACTGAGATCTCTGCATCTGTGCCATCACTTCCCGACACGACCTCAATATCTGAAGATCTCCATTCAGACACAATAACTACAGACACCTCTATAAGCGATATCCAATTTATTATTTATTTTATATTAACTAGTTAACTAGTAAAAAAAATAATTTATTAAATATACATTAATTTTACAACTATCATTTAATTGTTTGAATGCAATCAATGGTTACGTTATTTTGTGAAACCGAATACTGTGTTCACAAAATTTATTTCACAAATAAGTATTTAATTAAAAAGTAATTAATTTCATTGCGAATTCACTCGCAAAACATATTTACAATCACTTGTGATTACCAGTGCCTCCAAAATGAGAGTCATATTAATCTCGACTCAAATCCTTTTAATCATAAATTATATAAATTGCAAAAACAAAGCGCACGACAACTCCCGCTCACTGTCCGGTCGGGTCTGTCCGCCCATCAGGTCATTGGCGACGACTCCGACGATTACATTGATTTAAGCCGTTCGCCAACTAAAGCCAACAGAGCCAGGCCTACCACCACAAGGGCAAACCCTCCCGTCCCCCCTGTTGTAAAGCCTTCAAATGGACCGCCCGTTCCGAGTAAGTAATATAGACAGCAATTTTCACCTCAATGCTCAGGGTTTGTGAGCCCCGGGTCCTATCAATACGGTCTCACAACTAATGAACAAATAAACACAGAACCCGTTCCGCCACCAGTACCCCAGTCAACACGACAACTACTATCTGTAGCACCAGTTCAACGGCAATTAGTTCCGGTTCCGTTGCAACCGACACCAGTACCACAACATACTGCTCCCGTTCAGCCACACTCAACCAATGTACCGGCCCCACCACCACCACCAACAACAGGCAGTCCACCATCAAATGAGACGCCAATAGATCAACAACAAGAGGCACATATAGCTCCACCACAAAAGGTACCCATAGCTCCACTACAAGTGGCACCTATAACTCCACTACAAACGACACCCATGGCTTTACCACAAACGGCAGCCATACCTCCACCACAATTGGCACCCATAGTTCCACCACATATAGCACCCATAGAACCACCACAACTGGCACCTATAACTCCACCAAAGGAGTCGGGCGGCAGGTCTGGCATTTTAGGCGACCCCCAACCGGGCGAGAACTTCAACACAAAGAATAAACTAAAGTTTGACACAATTGTTTAGAGACAATTATTTTTGTATTGTCTTACAATTAGTTACAAATATGTAAACAATAAACATATAATTTATTTAATAAAACACGTTATAAATTCTCATTTAATATATCATTTTCTTAATATCCATAGCATTTTCACACATAATCCTGTATCTCTAGCAATAAATGCAATTATTTGCCTTTAAATAAACCAGGGTTAAAGTACAAGTCCCTGTCCACATTCTTCATAGTCAGCTCCGGACGTTGAGGCATATCAGCCCGGTTCAATTCCTCACATGTCTATACAAGATGTAAATATATTTAAAAATTATTCAAATAAAATCAAACAAATTTTAAAATACCTTGCTAAATATTTGTGTCAAATTGGAATCGCACGCGTATTCGGCGATACAGTGACTGAATGCCTGTCCAAACAAAGTGTAACCACTGGTCGAGTAAAACGCTTGAATGCCTTAAAGAATATAAAGTTTTTAATTTACATAAAAATAACTATTTTAATAGAAAATTAGTCTAACCCTCGGCACAGGCATAGCAGATGTAGGTGCGAGTGGTGCCGTCCATCCACTCCCCGTCAATGGACTTCCGTTTCTCTTCCAAATTAATGTCAGTCTATATAAAGGAAAGTTAGATAATGATATGTACCGGTATTATATATTAATCTCATCCCTTAATTCTTTAGCAATTTTTGATTAAAAAATGATTTTGTTTAATTTGTTTTTATGTTTATTTAAAATTAAATAGCTAATTTAAATTTAAAATATCCTTTGAACTTAAAAACTAAAATTATTGCTAGGTAATTTAGTAACAAACGCGAGATTTAAATCACCAGAATAATAAACATGTGCTAATTATTGTATAAAATATAATTTTTTATTTATGTTTACAGTTCTACTAACTCATAATTTTTACCATAAAATACTATTAATCTTAGTTAAAATTGTTAAATCCTAAAATATTAAGCAAGGTACTGTATAAACTTACTAATTCTGCAGCAATTGAACACAAAAATCTTGGGCTTAGGTCTAATGGTCGGGTGACAATTCCTCTCAGAAAACTGATCCACGAGAGCCTTAATATGAATCTCATCCTGGCCGTGACCACTACCCTGGATCATTTCATCGTGACCATGGCCTATAAACATGACAATCAGGGCATCCTTTTTGAACTCCTGTCGTGAGGTGTGCTTAAGAGTGTCCAGAATCTGGTCGCACGAGTAGTTCACGTAAATCTCGACCGAGAAATACAATTGTTGAAAAATGTGGTCAAAACGATCTGCCTCCTTTTTGAGCTCATCCAGTTGTAGAAACAAGATTACCCGCCCCCTGGGGGTGCCGTCCATAACGAACCAACGGGAGGCGCCCGATCGCAAGGTGTGGGCGTTTTTGACAGTTATTTTAACGTCGGACGAGTAGGCTATAGGTGTAGTGGACTGGTTGTACTGCTCCAGCTCTTTGGCAGCATGTTCCTGGTCACATTTGGTCAGTATGTCAACCAGCTCGTTGCACGCGTTACGATCTCGGTTAAATTCGGTAAATATGAATAGTTTTTTGGCGTTTAGGTCGCTTGATGCAATTTCCTATTTGTTAGCAGTATATTATAATTAATTATTTGTATTATATTTTAATTTTTAATTTTATTTGTAAATGTATTTTTTAATTTTTTTAGTGCTTTAGTTATATAACATTTATTATGGGTACATTTGGTATAGGACGAAACTTGTTTATGCATAATATGCTATTACCGTTATTATATAATAATATTTTGTTGCTTTTATTTATTTTCAAGGGTGAGTGTATTTATACTTAAATTAAATATAATTATTTGTTGTAGTAACAGGCTCACTTACATTTAGTGGTTGTAGTAAATATGGAGCACATGAATGACTTTCCAGTAGTTTCATAAACATTGTATTCAGTGATACGAGTGGTAAGAATTTGTTGATGTTTTGCATAAAGTTTTTTCGTACTTCTGGCTTATCCATTGTTTTGTATTGTATTGTACAGTATTACTGTAATATAACTTACTGTAGTATACAAATTATTAATTAATTAATTTAATTTAAAAATTTTAAAATAAAACAAACATTAATTGTATTAATAATGAACACCTGAATATAAAGTATTGAAATACCTTATAATTTATAGTATGATTAGATATACACACAATAACTACAAAATCGTTGCAAAACACTGTGAGTTAACCTTAACATTATATATTTAATAGTACTGTATTAATATAGCCATATAATTTGAGTCACTGATAATATAACAGGAATTTCGTAAATATACTGATATTTGCGATAATAAGTAGACTTTGATTGATAACATTATAAACCAGACAATTACAATAAGTTACAATATTTTATTAATTATATGTAAGGTTATAGCACTACATACAGAATTTTTGTCCCAAACATACTATACAAATCCCAACAACAAGTATATATCTAATACAACAATTGCATTTTAAAAACAATATTTAAAATATAATTTTAAGTTTTATACAAATACATGATAATTTTGTTTAAGTATTAAGCTATATGGACTGACGTTTGTTAAATAATCCTAACAATGCGTTAACGGGAAATGATATTCAGTTAATTAAATAAAATAAACTGGATTATACTCGTATGGTATGGTATATTAAGATTGTCCAGGTCCGGTAATCTAGCGGGATGTCTTAGATGTCCAAATCTATACATTCATTCCTAGTATTGTAACTCTGACTCGTATAGTATGAGTAGTTGAATAGGTTTTTATAGCAAAAATGTATAGAGTTTTTATAGCGCGCCTCTAATATAATCACCGATTTGGACATCTAAGACATCCCGCTAGATTACCGGACCTGGAAAATCTTAATATACCATACCATACGAGTATAATCCAGTTTATTTAATTTAATTAACTGAATATCACTTCCCGTTAACGCATTGTAAGTAATAATGTAAGCAAACTATAACTCTAGTACAGCCCATATTAACATATGAATTAAAGGATCAAACAGAGCCATATGTCTCAAACTTAGTTAACACTATTGTTTGCGTTAATGACTATACCTTTCCAAATTATTTTGTATATTAAATGTGAAAACCAAAGCATTACTAAGTTTGAGACATATGGCTCTGTTTGATCCTTTAATTCATATAAGTTTAGTAAAATGTTTTGAAACACATATACTTATTATGCAGCCGGTAGTCCATATAAATTATATATCGGAAACCTTCATATTAGTTGCCTTTAAATATTAAAATTGTTATATCTCGTAGTAATAATATATCAAAAACTAATTCTACATTAATTATAAAATACTGTAGGCAATATTAATGTTTATAATGTTAATAAATGTGTTTATAGACTAGCAATATTATCTCTCCTTATAGAGACCCGGGTTAAAATACAAATCCCTGTCCATATTTTTCGTATACATTTCCGGTCGTTGCTGTACTTCAGCTCTTTGCAATTGGTCACACGTCTAAACAAGGTTTCATAATTATATTTATATTAATAGTATTTTAATTTTTTAAAAATACCTTGTAAAATAGTTGTGTCAAGCTAAAGTCGCACGCATGTTCAGCAATACAATGACTGAACGCCTGTCCAAATAAGGTGTACCCGCTGTCGGTGTAAAACGCTTGAATGCCTTATAAAGCGTTTATATATAAAATAACAAAATTATATTATAGTTAAATTAAATTTCAATATAATATCAAGCGGTCTAACCCTCAGCACATGAATAGCATATGTAGGTGCGAGTGGTGTCGTCCATCCAGTCCCTCTCAATGGAGTTCTGTCTATTGTCCGGTGCACTATTTTGTTCTAGCAATTGGCAAGCTCATTTAATACATGCATACTTAACATATAAACATACAATTTATATGATATAATATATGAGCAAGGCACAAACTCACTATTTCGGCAGCAATTGAACACAAAGATTTTCGGCTTCTGACGCAGAGTCGAGTGACAATTACGGTCCGAAAACTGCTCCACAATAGTCTTGATGGGTATAACATCCTGACCCTGGCCACTACCCTGGATCATATCATCGTAACCGTGGCCTATGAACATTACAATCATCGCGTCCTTTGTGAACACCTCGGCCGCCGTCGCCTTAAGTGTGGCCATAATCTGCTCACACTTCACATCGTTGTGTACGTCAACCGAGAAGTACATCTGCTGGAAGAGGTCGCTAAAACGATCCACCTCATTTTTAAGCTCAGGTAGTTGCGAAAATAGCAACACCCGCCCCCTGGGGGCGCTGTCCATAACGAACCAACGGGAGGCGCCCGACCTTAATGTCTGCGCGTCCTTAACGACGAGCTTGACTTCTGTTGAGTACGTGATGGCGGCTGTGGACGACTGGTTATACCCCTTCAGTGCTTCAGCCGCGACACCCTGTTCACACTTTATCAATATCTCAACAAGCTCGTTGCACGCCTCCCGATCGCGATTGAACTCGGTGAATATGAAAAACTTTTTAGCGTACTCATTATCAGCCGGAATTTCCTAGTTAAAATATGTTGCCTAGTTAAAATGTGTTGTATGTATGGTCTTTAAACAAACTCATTATACTACAGTATAATACGTATACTATTATTGTAAAATATAATACTGTTTCAGATATACAAATGAAATGTGAATTATTAGCATAATTAAAATTACTTACATTTAGTGAGGCTAATAACTGTTTGGCGCAGGTATGTTTTTCCAACAGTTTCATAAACATTGCATTTAATTGAACCTGTGATAGAAATTCATTGATGTTTTGCATGAATATGTTTCGCACTTCTGACTTATCCATTGTTGGCTGCTATTGTCAATTACTAACTATTAAAAAGTAAACACCTAGTTTAAGTACGGTTTTAATTTCTCAAAATAAACGTTGTAATAATCAAAGACTTTGTAGTGATAATGCAAAACCGTTACATTTTTTGCGTTGTATTTATTAATACGTGGAATTTGTTTGATTAGATATTTATTTATTAACTTTTATAAACTAATATTAAATTTATATATTATAAAATTATCTTTGAATGTAGTGATATAATATTAGTGTCATATTTTATAATACAACAGGTATTTCATATAATTTACTGATAATTGTGATAATAAATAAACTGTGTTTGATATAAAGTCATAGGTTTACAATAGTATTAAAATTTTTATTAATCTTATTAGACATGTAAAAACTAACTTGTATGCGAAAAATATTCTTTAAAAAATTATAAACTATTAGATATTATAGTTTATTGATAAATTTTTGTAGCAAATACAGTATTTAAATTCAGGTGTAATTTTATATAAATATACTAATTAATTTATAATTTACTAACAAAGTATATTTAAGCAAACTTTAAAACATTTAAAATAATGGAATTCAGTTATTTGGCTAAAAACACTTACCATAAAGTTTGCCCGAAATTCAAGTGATATAAAAATAATCATAATTACCTTTAATCAAAATTCACTAGACTAACCTAACCTAACCAAACCTAAATATTCTTAACATAACTAAAATAAAGGGATTATACTATAGTTAATTTTTATGTTATATGTTATTATGGCAGTATATTCGGGCAAATGACTTAAATTAAAATAATCACATAATTATATTATAAACACTTTTGTAATTGAAATTAAATGTTTATTTCTTTTTATTACTATCTGTTATGTTTTAATATCAATTGTTAATCAAAACTTGTAAAGCAAATATTAGTCTTTATAGAGACCTGGGTTAAAATACAACTCCCTGTCCACGTTTTTCATAATCAGTTCCGGGCGCTGTTGCATAATTGCCCTGTTCATCTCATCGCACGTCTATATGATAATAAATACGGTTAATTAAATAAATTACTAATAATTTAATTAGTTATAACTAATATATAAATTTTTCAAACACACCTTGTTAAATATTTGTGTCAAATTCAAGTCGTATGCGTATTCAGCGATACAGTGACTGAATGCCTGTCCATATAATGTGTATCCCTTGCCGGTATAAAAGGACGCAGTACCTAATCATGTTTTATAAATGATAAACCGCAAAATCAAATATTTAATAGTAGTTTCAAATGAACCATGATTAGATTACCATCGGCACAGGCATAGCATATGAAGGTGCGAGTGGTGCCGTCCATCCACTCTCTATCCACCACTGGTTCCTGCGGATTGACACCAGTGTCTACAAAACAACAACAAGGTAATTTGTTTTCTCATAAATATAGGTAGGGTTAGTTCAATTAGTAACTATGCATTTGATAAAGGTAAGCTAGGAAAGTTCACTTTTTCAATACTATCCTAATATATGAAAGGATTACGAAAGTGAACTATAATTAATAGCCACGATTGCGTACTCACTAATTGAATTGCCCCATATTTATATTTGGCAGTAATTAAGTAACAAGTAAGCAAGGTTACACTCACAAAATCTACAGCAATTAAACACAAAGATTTTGGGCTTCAGTCTGAGAGTCATATGACATTTATTCTCCGAAAACAGGTCGACCAGCTTTTTGATGTGTATTTCATCGCTGGCACCGTTACCCTGGACCATCTGATCGCGGCCATGGCCTATGAACATCACAATCAGCGCATCCTTTTTGAACTCCCCTTCGGAGACAGTCTTAAGAGTGTCCACAATCTCATCGCACGAATAATTTTTATAGACATCGACCGAGAAGAATAGCTTCTGGAAGAGGTCATCAAAACGATCTGCCTCATTTTGCAAGTCAGGCACCTGCAAAAACAACAACACGCGACCCCTGGGGGCGCCGTCCATGACGAACCAACGGGAGGCCCCCGACCGGAAGGTGTGGGCCTTCTTAACGATTAGTCTAACATCCTGTGAGTATACGAGGGGTTCAGTCCACTGATTGTAGAGCTCCAGTTCACGGGCGGCGTGGTATTGGCCCGACCTTTTGAGAAAGTCAACAAGCTCATTGCACGCATTACGATCCCGGTTGAATTCAGTAAATATGAACACCTTTTTCGCGGTTATATCGGTAATCTCCTATGAATCACGTGTTTTAAGTTTAATTTTAGCATGCACTGTAAAAACGCAGTTTTATTTGAAGCAAGATGCCTTAAATAGTTTGATTCTTAACATAAACAACAAGTTAATAATATAATTATCTATTAAAATGATTATTAGTCAAACTATTACACTATTATGGGCACCTTGTTTCAAATTAATCTGACCACAGTATTAAATACTATTGATACTTATGTTAAAATCATTCATAGGTACAGTATGTTGTGACTTAATGTTTTAACTCTGAACTACTATTTGACATATTAATTTTGCTTAAGCAATTAATACCTATTCAGAGTCAAGACATTTAATTAAAACAATTTTTAACTTTTTTACATTTATAATAAATATAATTAAAATAGTATACTTGTAACGCCTTAATTAAGTTATGAGCACAGGTATGGTTTTCCAATAGTGTCATAAACAATGGACTCAACGTGACCCGTGATAGGAATTGGTCCATGTTTTGCATAAATCTAATCCGCACTTCAGGCTTATCCATAGTTGCTATAAAACCCTGCAAACAATTAACATACACTTAAAAATACAATTAAATATTTAATTTACACTTTGAAATGTGTTGTTTCCGACACTCAAACTATTCACAGTACTGTGCGGTACTGTATTAGGGCTGGTATGTTATGACTACATTTATGGCTTACATGACGGTGTGAATTTAAAAACAAACAAAATTTAACTACTTTTACATAATGTTAGAGTTAAACGTGAAATTTAAACTTACAATTATTGTCGTATAACTAAAGTTAATTAAACAAATTTTTAAATAATTTTATTTTGTGATGTTTTAGGGAATTTAATTAATTAATAAAACTTTTAAGTTTTAAGTTTACAATAACTTGTAACCAATTAAAAAAATATATAACGTAAATGCGAAAAAAGTCTCAAATTGAATTTAAAGATATTATTACTGATAACAGTACCGGTATTCAAATGAATAATAATTTATTATACCGACAAATATTTTGTCGTTTGTACCAATTGTATAAATTATACAAATAAGTTTGTATTTGTCAATATATCAGTAAAATACAGGCAAAATTATTAACAAGTAATATCAAAAAATACTTTAAATAAAATTAGCATTTTAAAAACAATTTTATCATAATAAATATCAATAATAACAAAATATTTTTAGGTTTTAGTTCATAAAATTTATAGAAATAAATAATTTGTATTTTATAAAAATAAAATTTTATAATAATTTATTAATAAAAATTCCTTTAAAAGTGTTTGACATCGGGAACATAATTTGGGGGTGTTTTGGGTAGACCAGGGTTAAAATAAAAGTCTCTGGTCACCAAGAACTGACGTATCTCAGGCCACTGTCTCAGGTCTAAAGCAGCCAGTTCCATGTATTACAAATTATTACAACTAGTGATGTATAGACTAAAGAAAGTAAATGAATAAGGAACGTATTCTCAACACTAGTTATTTTCTTAATGATAAAGAATCATAAATATAAGAGTAATACATTTAACATATGAATGAAATCCTATAAATTTATTAATCATTGATTCATTAATATAAAATTAGTACACTATTAGGTTTATAAAATATTTATTACTACTAAGTTTATATTAAAAGAAAATAAATAGTGCTGTGAATCATTTATAAATTAATCAAGCTCATACATACCTATTTTTAAGAGATTTATATATTTGGAACTTAATGGTCTAGTCTATTAATATTAAAATTTTTAGAAATTATAGTACCTCGCACATTTGATGTAAAATATATATATATTTTAGATTATATATTATGTATATATATACATTTATATATTAGAATTAATATATCGCACCTTGTTAAATATTTGTATCAGATTACAGTCACACGCGTATTGAGCGATACAATGGCTAAAAATCTGACCAAATATTGTGAAACCACCAGGGATAGGCCATGCCTTTTGGTCTAAATATTTTATAACAAGACAAATAAAAATAAATTAACTTGCTCAAAATATAAAGTTAAAATATTCAAATATACCTTCAGCACAGGTATAGCAAATGTAGGTGCGGGTGCTTTTGTTGTACCAGTTTTTGTCAATCAGCGACATATCAAACACCAGTAGTCTCTGTTTGGTCTTAACAAAGGCCGACAATTTGGTCACAATATCCTCTGTTTATGATCAAGGTATATGAAAATAAGTAAATCTCAATTGTAAATAAATTAATTAGTATAATAAATATAAAGCTATACAAGTTAATGTAATTGTTACTAATTAAATATGCTTAATATTACACATACAAAACTTAATATTAATGTATTTATGATAATTAAATTTATATATTTTAAAAATATAAATTTATATTGCAAAATATAGAAAATTATCTTGTTACATAATAGTGTTAAAAAGTACAATATACTCACTCTCACGGCAACAGTTAAATACAAAGATTTTAGGTATTCTATCAAACGACTTGTCACATTTACGGGCACTATCAGGGTCATCCGGGTCAACATTACTTTCCGAAAATATGTCCACAATATCACAAGTTCTCTGTTCATCACCATCTTTGATCCAGATCCTCTCGTCATACCCGTGTCAGATATACATGACAATCAGGGCGTTACCCGGGTATTCCTTCTGTGCCAAGGCTTGCAAAGGGATCATCATTTGTACGCATGATTTGATTGCATGTATTTCCACATCAAAGTACAACTGTCCGAATACGGAGGCAAATCTATCGGCTTCCGGTAGGAGTTTCTCGAGACTAACAAATATTAACGCCTTTCCCCTGGGAATAGACTCCATGGGGAACCACTTGGAATGGCCCAATTTGAGCCCGATCGCTTTTTCCACAGTTAGATGAGTGTTATACGAAAAGTTTCGCAGTTTTACCGGACTATTAAATACTCTCAACTTATTAGCCTCCCTTTGCCCGGATTTGTCCAATATTTGGGCCAACCTTGTCCAATTATCCCGTTCCCGCGTATATTCCGTAAATATTAAGTATTTCCTATTTTCTTGGTCAATTTCCTATTTTTATCAATTAAATTAAATGTTTAATAAACTAAACTTATTTTATTGTTATACTAAAGAATTATAATTTCAATGATTTCCAGTACTTTCCTCCCATTTATCTGATAATAAAATAAGTTATGAAAAAAACATAAAATAAAGTATTCTATTTTTAAATATAAAATGCAATTATAACCTACCACAATATTAACCTAATAACATGTGTGACTTTTCAATAATTCCATAAATTTATCAGATAGTTGTACACTGGATAAATATGTTTTCAAATTCTTGATATAATCATTTCTGATTTGTGTGTAATCCATATTAAAATAATTAACTAGCTATTTGCAAATAGCTTTAATTCAAAAATATGTTCAAATATTAATTAATAAACGGAACTGCTATTCTTTATAAACAAAAATTATAGGTTATATGTAGATATTTATATATTAAAGACCATGTCAAGGGTTTACAAATTGTCAATATAATTCGGTGAAATTAACAAAATATAATAAGCTTTTTAAATAATATATAAATATCTAAAAATTATTTTTGTAACTTCAATAGTTAAAAATTTATTCACGTTTAAAAATACAAGAATTTCTACAGTTTGTTGTATATTTTCAGACTAAATTTTCAGCTATTTTTTCAACTTTGTACCAATCCACTAAATCGATTCCCCATTGAAAAATAAAATGTCAATTTTTAAAACCAATCAATTACGTCATGCCGTAACTTCGTTATTTATGGTCAGAAAAATTTGTGACTGTGATTTTTAGTATCAGCATTAAAAATAATTTTATTTAAAATTATTAACATTCAAAAATAACGTACTTGTTAAAAACGTAATTTATGGATTTTATTTTCTCAAAATTATTTTTTTATGTTTAATTGATCTAGGGCCTAAATCCAATTTGTGAAAAATTGTGGATGTCAACAATTTTAGTTTTGCAAAAATCACCTTGTTACCCCAAATAACCCTAAACTTTCTGTTCTGTAACTTAAAGTAAACCAAAATATCTAATAACTAAACTTTTCATACCTTTGGGTTTTTAGGGGTAAGACTTATGAATTCATGTTTATATTTTTAAAACATCATTATCCGGCACAAATTAATTGTTTAACAAAATAATTTTTGTTTTACTTAAAGAAGCTTATTTGTTAATATTATTTAGTAAAGAAACTAATTAAAAATCTCATGTGGTTTTCTTATTATTTTGCTGTGAAATATAAGAATAAAAACCAGTGTAACTCATTAATCCTTACAGTTAGAATAATGATTTTTTGATTATTTGTCATTAAAAACTTCATATATTTTTATGGTATTACTAAAAATTCTAAATTAAGTCATAAGTTTTCGAGTTTGACATCGTGTTTATATATATTAAATATATACTTAATATACAGCATTAAATATATTATAATTATTTAATTATATTAAATTTGAAAACAATAACTTAATAAAAAGACAATAGTTCTTTCTTAATAAAGTAAATAACTAATAAATTATCATTAGTAATAATATTGTTTAGGTATTAAAATAGGTATTTAAGACAATTAGTATTTAATAATATCAGGTGTTTGCAAAAGTTTTGCGATGTGAGATTTATTCAGTAACGGATAGAAGTATCGAAATTATTTTTGAACCCCAACTATGGTTTTTGCTATTATGTATTCACCTGAAGAGACAACTCATTTTGAGTACCGGTATGTCGGCACAGGTAGGTTATCTGTACAGCAAAAACTACAAGTCGTAGAAAGGCGAATAGCACATCGTTGGAAAGAGCATAAAAAATAATCAAACCCGTCTATCGGGATTTCCCTGGTAATTATTACAATATGAGATAGGGAGCACCGGTAAATAAGATTTTTGAAAAAATTCTTTTAAATCCATAAAGTGATTAATCCAACGAAAACTGCTTAAAATGTAAATAAAATTTCAATTTTGAATTTTTAAAATATGTCACTAAATGAATGTGCTAGGGCATTTTAAAAATTTGACCATTTTTTGCTAAATCTGTAAAACACTTAAAGTTTGATGTGCTCTAGATCCGTTATTTCTCAAGATATCTTAAAGGTGTAAAATTCAAATCATATCTATATTTTGAGGGTAATTTGATGATCCAGTCAAAACTTTTATTTATTTTACCTAACTTTATTTTATTC